CGCGAAAAGCAAGCTTGCGAGCAAGGCGGCGGAGGAGCAGCACAGGAAGGAGGGCGCCTGGACGTGGCCGCGGCTTGCGCTCTGGGAGTCTGGGACCTGAACCAGAACTGGTTCTTGCTTTGCTGTTTCCAAAGTCATCCTGCTGCTGCACTGCTATTTGCTGCAGATGGAGCAGTGCAGTGCTGGAATTTCCTTTCCAATCCACCCCCTGGTCCAAAATGACATCACTTCCCGAAGGTGACGCTAAGCCGGTTATCTGCAAGGGTGCGCCCCTGCCGATGAGGTAGTGTAGCTTCCTGGTCTGTGCGACGGGATGACATTGGCTGGGCTGGGCTGGCCCGTGCCAAACCGCCCAAAGGGCAATGCGAATGGTCACGTCCGGAGACTCTCCCCCGGTGGCTCATTCGAATTAAACCGCCACAATCCCCCGTCCTCAGTACCTCACTTCAGGTTTTTGTTCATTTCTGGGCAACCAACGTTACCTCGTTGACAACACATTGCTTTCATTTCAATCGAATTGCGTTGACGATCTACGGTGAGACAAGTGAGGTACAGCATGACGGAAGGTACGCAAACCGGCCCCCCTCAACCGAGATGAGATGGTGAGACTGCGTTAGGATTTGCCAGCCGTTTCTTACATGAAGCCAAATTGGGCTCGAGCCCCCTTGGACCGCGGCGTCCTCCAAACATGCACTTCTGGACGTCCGGATCTGGCTGCACATGAGCTAAGGCACTGGCGCCACACTTGTGCTTCGGATGTATTACCTCAAGTTCCCCTGGTCCAATAGATCGAGGATCTACACCAAGATCGATGGTGCACAGCCACGAATTACTCGCCACAGTCCACGTCTACCTGACGGCATCTCACAACCGCGACAGCATCCGCAACGTCCTCATTCCGCAGAACGTCCAAGTCGGCCGTGGATCGTCAGAGCAGGCGTTTAGAACCATGCGGCTTTCGGGTCAAAGATGACAGGCTTCTAGACATTCCTCCTTCCGCACTGACGCCGTCGACGCCGTCTTCCGCTCAAGAATAGCGTGAGTTCGCAGCGGATAAGACGACACGTGTGGCCGCCTGTAGTGAAATACATTCCATGCATTATGGTGTGAGTTCAGTGACAGGTGGTCTCTCGCACTTCACCGCGGCCCGCTCCTAGACCCTGATCTTCCCTCTGATAAACTTTGACGAAGAGACGCCACCACACATCAAGCCCAGCTAGCAGCATATTTGAGAAAAGATTTTGTTTTAAATTCATACAGCTGCTCGTTGCTCAGCAGCCAAGGTAATTCGTAACTCATAAGAGACTCCGCCATGAACCTACTCCCGAAAATGCAAAGCCCATACCACAGAGCATCTCGGCTTACCCGCGCCGGGGCTACCCATGATATCCAGCGTCCAATGTACAACAACAGCAACTTTTACTGCAGAGGCAAGCTCTTTAACCGCATCGTCAGAATGTCGAGCTGTGTCTTGACCTCATCGCCCTGGCCCTGATCGTCCACTTCCTTCTTCTCAAGGGCCGTCTGCAAAGTCTTGACAGCGTGCAGCAGGGGCTCAACGTAGCGCTGCTCCACGGCGCCGGGCATACTAGCCGGCACCAAGTGCTGGAAGCTGGTGCCGGCAAAGAGGAAGTACGCAAAGTTGGCTACCTGCAAGTGGAAAGGGAAGTTCTGCACCCAGTATTCCCAGATTTCGGGAACGGATTGCTCTTTGAGGAATGCCATGTTGGGGAACAAGACGTACTGCAGCGTCTCAACTGCATCTGTTGTAGAGAATCTGTTTGTGAGCTTGCGTTTTTGAGCCACAATCAATTCTTCTCGCAACCACGTCACCGCAGAGGCCTGCAGGGCGGAGAAAATACAGTTCTCAAGGAGATCCTCCAAGATCTTGAGTCGGTCGCTATCATCGGGGTCGTCATGCAGGACGAGGCCCGCGAGCGTTGTCGAAACATTTCGAACTGATAGTGTAGGGTGGAACACAGAGACAAGTGTAAGGAGATGGTGGTAGGGCATGAAGTCGCCTTCTGACGGCGAGATGCGCTTGTAGTTCTCCAGCCAGAGTCCCATTACGACGAGAGCCTCGGTGGTACCAGGATTTCCCACGATGCGTGACTGCGGGTCTTCGCCAAAGAAGTTTTCGAGGAGCTTGACATGATCGGGGAACATGGTCATCTGAACCTGCTCGTAGTCCGCGTCAAACACCTCTGCTGAGAAGAGCCAGTATGCAACCAGGCACCAGACACCTCCGGTGGAGAGCTTGATGTTGTCGGGGCTGAGGTCATCGGTCTCGACCGCCAGCGGGCTGTTGGGGATGGTGCCCTCAAAGATGTCCTTGACGGAAAGAGCACGCACTCTGTTTAAGCCAAGATCTCCTGCAAGTGCCTGAGTTAATTGTTAGCAAGTTCATCCGTCCGAGCAACATCAGACGAATGTACATACGACTAATTGGCCAACCAGAGCGTCCCTCGCCAAAAGATCATCGTCCTCCTTAAAGGCACGCAACACGCTCTTGCGCATCACGACACGCTCTGGGTTGTAGAATTCCAGCAAGCGAGAGGCCCATTCCATGCCGGTACAGTTGACGTAGGCCTCGATGATGCAGGTAATGAAGGACTGGAGCAGTCTCTTGGTGGTGTCAGGGTCCGTCGGCGCCAACTGCTGCTTGTGTGCGGCCTCGGGGTCCGGTGCATGTTTTGTGGGATCGCTCTTCGTAAAGGGAGTGTCGAGCTTGTTGCTGGACTGGCGGGTAGGGAGCGGCGGGCGCTTATCGCCAGAAAGGGAGCGGACGAGGGCAATGACTGCAGCCGTCATTTCGGGATTGCGGGGATGGTAGGTGCGGTAGACGCTCTGAAGGGTCGTATGAACGAAGCGTGAGGGGCGCGCGACATTCAATCGCTTGTGCAGGACGCTCAACATGCCGACCAGGTGAACGAATGTCGCCGTCGTCGCGGGATCGTCTTCCTCATCGGTGGCCTCTTCGACAGTCTTTTCCAAAACTTCAAGCACCTTGAGAATGACCTCGCGCGGGTTGCCCAGCTGGGCAATGGTCTCGAGGCACTGCTGACTGCCCTGGACGGGCACAAGCATCTCGACTAAGTCCCATCCGATGTCCTGGGTGAGCTGAGTGTCTTGAAGGATCTCGTTCAGGTCAGGCAGGATCTCGGGGGAGAGGACCTCGCCGATGATGGTCAGGTAAGTGAAGGTGTCTGTGGCGGGCGGCTTAGACTCGCGCAGAGCCTGGAGGCCACTGGGCTTGTCAGCCATGGCAAGAGGAGGATTTGTCGCTTCAATCATGGTGTTCAACTACTCCGAGGGTCTTCTGTGGCATTGGAGGGGTTGGTCGATGGTCGTTGAAGAAAAGTCTGGGCTGATGAGCACTCGGCAGACGGCAGAAGGGGGGGGCAGATGGGGTGAAGAAAAGAAGAAAAGAGACTGCTGCGCCTGTTCTTGTTTCGTCATCGGAGCTTTCAGCACCTGAGAGATGGAAGGGAAGGCGTGAGAGACGGCACGCCGCACGGCAGGGTTCCAACTCCAATTTCTCTCCACCAGGCAATATAATTAGCACCTCACCAGCAGCTCACCACTCCACGAAAGGGGGGGGGGTTGAGGCGGTCGATTGCAGTCAACGACAGGACCAGAAATGCCAGCAGTGGGCGCAGCAGCAACCCCGCACTAGCCCTGATTCAGAGAGGATCCCGCTGGAACACTTTACAGGTCAGGTTCACCCCACTGGAATCTGCATTCTGAAGAGGTCCCGCCAGGTCTGAAGCCTCAGGATGGCCCCGCCTCCAGGACCGGTGGAGGTCGTTGGTGCAGACTTGTCAGTGGCCAGAGGCACAGTGAAACCCGGTGCCATCGGGTAATACAGCGTGCCAGACCAGGCTGGTTCCAGCTCGCAACACTGGCTGGGGCCAGGCCTTGGCGGTGAAGTGGCCTGCGACGAGACAGGCTGAGATGTGAGAAATTCATTCCCAGGAATGCCTAAGACGGTGTGGAAGAACAGGTTGCGGATGGAAGATCGGCTCGTGTTTGATTTATGCTTGACAATGGAAGCATCCGAACAGACGACGAAACTGGACATTCCCCCATCCCTTTAATCTGCGGGAACGGGAATGGACCCTGAAGAAACCTGAATCCTGAGGGACCCAAGTCAACGACCTCCCTCTCCAGTGTCTCCACGGAAGTCTTATCGTTCCCGCGCTATCCCTCCTGTTAATTGTTATCGATAGAGAAAATGGAGCACCATAAGATAACGGGATGCACTTCGATAAGACACCTTGACTGGGGAAGCGATTACAGATCCCAAGGTAAGGTACCTTGGCCGTAGGTGCGTAGGTACCTTGATGGAAGTACACCGTACCCCTCCATCACCGCCTCTCTCACAGGATATGGCGGTCTCCCTTGCCTTTGAATCTCGTTTGAGAGCATCGTACAAACGCAACGTCTTGCAGATTTGAAGACGACAAGTTCAAAGAGAACGGCAGAACAATTGCTTCGTGTACAGATTCATCTCCAAGGCCATCCGGCGCCATCTGCCATCCGCCACCTCCGTCAAGCAACTGCCCGTGACACCCCGCACCCGCCATTCGTCCCAGGTTCCCTGACTACCTTACCTTCCTTACTACCCGATTATTACAAAGTACCACCACCCAGTCACATAACCACTAACGAACGAGCGGACGGGTACTTCAAGGTTTCGTCCATCTGAGTAACATCTCCTGTACTTCCTGCCAGGCCAAACGCTCACGGCTCGACATGTACCCTTCTGTCCCCTCCTTCCCGTTCTGATCAGGTGCGCTCCTCCCCGCCCCTACCCAACCCAAGCCAACGCCCTACCTGACCTTGCTCTGACCGACAGTTACCGACTGCAGCCTCAGCGGACTGGGCGGGCTACAGCCGAACTCAAGTCAACGTCGTGCCGTCTCATCCCGTAACCTCACTCGTTCTTTTTGCAGGGCAAAACAGTCTTTTTTTCATTACTCTCTCTCTCACCTTCCACCATGTCCTCTCCCGATGTATCGGTATTGGAGGTGCCCGCGAGCAGAATGGACAGGTTCTGTCTCCTCCCAGCGGAACTCCGTGCAGCCGTTGTTGAGTGTGTCGTCGATGACTGCCGCTACGGCGATGAGTCCGATTCCCTCGCCGACTACGCCTTGGTCTGCAAGGAGTGGCAGGCCATCGTCGAGCGTTTCAACTTTTCCGTCCTCAAAGTCACCCTGGCCAATCTGGACGACTTTGAGTCTTCCATGGTCGGCTCTCGCCGCAAACTCGTCCAGCGGATCAACCTACACGTCGACCTGCCCACCTACGACAATGATCCCTGCGAAAAGAAGGAGACCTGGGAGGACAAGGCCGAGAATAACTCCTGCTTTACTCTTGCATTTTACCGTCTATTTGACATCATGCATTCCTGGACACCCGAGGAGACGACCCAGGAGGGCATCGATTTCTCACTAAGCATCTCTTCACCCAGCGACCTCCGCAACGCCAACTTTGAGCTGTGGCAACGACGCAGGTGGAACATTAAAGATATTGGCGAAAAGCGTTTTGCGGACTCTTGGATCGATTTCGTCGGCCAGGATGAGGAGTTTGACCGGGTCAACCGCCTGCCTGCGGTCAAGGTGATAAAATCATTCACCGTGAGCCCTCAGAACCACCGGGCACTGATGCCCGCCGCTCATGCCGACATCATCGCCCGGCTACCCGGGTTGCGAACGGCCAGTTTTGACATCACCAAGGACCGCAAGAAGGAAACCCGCAAAATCCACTTCAACCGTGCGTTCCATTATGGTGTTGCTTCACTTCAAGGTCCCCTCACTAACACTGGCTAGAATTCGCCGGTTCCATGACCAAGTGGCCCACCTCACTAGAATGCCTCACCATCATGTCCAATACAATATCATCGTGGCGCCAGATCCCCCACGAGACGCTCGCTGAAGGCGACAGCGGTGCCAGGCTCTGTGATAAGCTCCGGCGTGCCGCTCAGCATCTTAAGGAGCTCAATGTCACCAATGTCGTTCGTATTAGGGAATTTTTACGTCCTCACTGGCCCATGGGTACGGACGATACTGAGCCGTTCCTAGCGAACCGCCCGTACTACCCAGAGTTCTGGCTGCTCAAGACTCTCTACATCTCTTATGGATCCATCTGGTACAATACCGAGTGGCACAAGCAGAGCGACGATATCAATGAATCCTCAGAGCTAGTCGATTTCCGCCAGAACGTATCCCTCGCCGCCGCCCGGATGGCGTACACGATGCCCCAGTTGAAGCACATGACCATCAAGCAGCGGCCCTTAATGTGGGCAGGCAAGCACGAGCTCGAGTACAAGATCGAGGACGGCGATAAGGCCTACCTGACCTGGACGAGCACCTTTGAGTTCAAGCCATGGGAGCGAACCGTCGAGGCCTGGGTCGAGGTGGCGGCCCGGCATGAGAGGAAGCTTGAAGTTCGTATCATTACTAGGGCTTGGCATACTGACGGTAAAGCGCCTCTTCTCCCATCACTCACTTTTTAAGCACTCTTTACTTTCTCGGATTTGAGGAACATCAGTACGTGCATTCTTTTGTTTAGGGTCTCTGGAAGGACGGAGTTTTTATGGCGTTCTCGAAGGACTTTTGACATTTCTCCTTGGCACTCTCTCATTACACTTGGTTCATGATACCCAGGGTCCGGAACCGCTCTTCACGGCGTCAAGATTATATCTCAGGGAAGGGGCAAGCGGATAGTATTAGTAGACACAAACCGGGACGAGGGCGAGGCCTCAGCGGGGTGAAGGGGAGGCAATACCAGAGCGACACGATTCTTGGTAGATACGTTGAATGAGCGATACACGATTCAAACACTTGGTGTCTTTTTTTTTTTTCTTCTTGATTTTTTACTTCGTTTTCGTGATGGGTTTCCCCGGCTTTGTGTCATGATTCAGGATGAGATGATTCTGCTACACGTGCTGTGACCAGCGGTAGCCCAGTGCTGACACCGCCTCGATGGTTGGTTCAAACTTGCATGACATTCACAATATGGCTGGGATTTAATCTGATGGTTCTCGTTAGTCATGCTGGTGATGATTGGTTGAGTATTATCCGAGTCTCGGAACCTGATGTGAGATTTGCCATGAGTTCTCTTGTGAGAGATGAATTCTGAGTTTTGGGAGCAGGCCTAAGATTTTTCAACGAGATCTCTCATGGGAGATGAATGAGCCAAGATAGGTTGACATGCTGACAGAAGCTTCATACTCACTAGATTGTCATTCACATGTAGCACATCTCACAGTTTAAATGAAGTAATTTGAGATAATTTGATTTTTTTCATCTTATTGATGCTGAAAAGAGTAAACTTCTCCAGATTCCCCAACGCCGTGTTGTCCCAGACGCCATTCCCTGAAATCCCATGAACCAGATATAATAGTCTCATGCGTACACAAACACACACACACACACACACACACACACACACACACACACACACACACATCTACACTGATGAACTTTGCACATCTCACTCATCATCATCATCCAAGTCCAAATCAACCTTGGGCCCGGGTCCCCAGCTATACCTCTTGCGCGTCCTCAGCATCCAACTCCAGTGGCTCCACGGGTCCTCCGCAAGCTTCGTCATCTCAATCACATCTCCATGGCCCTCCCACAGCGTGGTAAGTCCATACTCGACCGCCATCCTTGCATATTTGGTCGCCAGCCACGGCTCCCCGATGCCGTTGTACTCAATCGCGGCCAGGGTATACGCCTCCGTCAACAGGCTCCAGTTGTGCTCCTGCTCATACAAGGAAATCAACAGCTCCGCCATCTGCGGGGTCGCCCGCGAGGCCGGTGTGTAGTCGTTGAACTCTTCCCGCAAGGAGGCAATCTGCTCGATGCGGCGGTCCGACTCGTCCGTCTTGAGGCGGTGCTGCATGCAGTGGTGGCAGGAGCAGTGGAAGCCCCAGGTGGAGTGCAGGCGCTCGCGGCGGGCGGCGCGGGTCTGCATGGGGTCGATGTAGGAGAGGGTGAGCTCCTCGCCGGGGATGATGTCGCGGATGGCGACGGTGCGCTGGGTGAGGGTGCGCGGGTCGAACCAGTAGTCTACGTTGGGGCGGCAGTCGTGGTTCATGCGGGATGCTGAGATGCCGTGTTAGCCGTGTTGCTCATGCAGGTTACAAGGAGTGAAAGAAGGGGTGAATAGGGGGGAAGGGAGAGAAGGCTTACTGTTCACAAAGACGGCGTAAAAGTCATCATCGCGCTTCGCATCGTCCATCTCGACGTCAAACGAGTTGGTCACGAGAATCTTGTCCACCATGGACAGGTGGTCGCCGTGGTAGCCGTGGCTCGACATGTTGAGCCACTGACTGCGGTGGTTGAACTGCAAGAAATCCACGGCGTGCGCCTGCATCTTCTTCATCTCGTCCGGCGGGATGTGGCTAAACGCCGCATAATCAATGAGCAGACTCGCCGTCTCGCGCAGGATGATCTCGCCCCGCTTGATGGGCAGCGAGGCGACCAGGCCGTAGTCCTTGCCGGGCACCTTGGCGACCTCGAACTTGGGCAGCGGCTGGTTCGTGCCCTCGAGCTCCTCGGGCTTGGTGAAGCCCCAGCTGCGGGTGATGTGGGCGGCGCGGTCGGCGTCGGTGATGATGGAGATGCCCTTGCCGCCGTAGTTGGCCGCGTGGTAGATGCAGAATTCCGGGGACCCCGTGCCGTTTTTGACGCAGGGCGAGGTGTGCGTCCACGCGGAGCCCGAGGGGGCAGAGGTTCCTACGGAGGAGAAGGGGAACTGGTCGGCGCGGCCGCCGAGGAGGTCTTCCTTGTTGCGGCAGATGGGTCCGTTGTTAGAGGAGGCGGCGAGAAGCTGGGAGGAGATGCAGATCTCGCCGGAGCTCGAGGAGATGACCTTGGATTCGCGGAAGGCGAGGGCGGAGCCGGCGCCCAGGAGTGCAAGTGAGGGCTTCATGGTGATGGGAGAGATGTGTGTATTAGAAGAGAATGATACCTTCGAGGTCGTGATCTACACAACACGCGAATAGAAGTGAAAAATGAAAGGATGAACAGTAGAAAAGGAGAATAGGGGAAGGATTGGGAGAAGAGAAGAGGAAGAGTTGACCACACGCTCACTTTCGTCCCATTGATCTATGATAATCGGACTCCCGGCACAGCTCGAATGATTGAAAGTGGGACGAATAGATATTAAGTATCCGCACCGCTCAACACACAGCATAGCAAGCACAGCAAGGCACGGCACGCAATAAGCAGCAAAAAAGAAACTTGAGCAAGCTTCAGAAGCAAACCCTGGGCGCTTCGACTCTTCTCTGGACTGCATGCATGCGCGGGACGGGGTTCGAGCTCTCGGCGCTGGCTGGACCAGCGTTTGGGATGCTCGCGGGGGAGCAACAGGATTGGAGCATGGGTGGAGGAGGGGGATAACTCACACCTCACAGCCTACGAGACCCCATAGACTATAGAACAGATGGTGATGGGGCTTGCGGGAAGGACGTGACAAGGTCCGCGAGCTTCTTCGGGCCCGGATCCCTGTCTTGAGGTCTGGATGTTTGTGTGAATGGTCGATTGCGTTGGAACTCTGAGTTGCCATTGAAGCTGTCCACGGGTTCCGTCTGACACTTTTTTTCCATGTCTTTTTCCCTGGTCCATTATCCAGGGAGTCACTGGAGTATGGACCGTGGACGCATGGCCCATGGCGAACCCCAGGATGGAGAGAAACAAGACTTTTGACGAATGTAACCCTCGGTAACTTTAGTAAGGTTGTCTTGTAACGAGGAAGGGTTAAGCGACTCATGGTGCGAAGGAAGACGGCCCCCTGTAGCCCCTTCCCGCGGCCCAATTGGACATTGGCATTGTTTGATGATTGATGTTGTTGGTAAGGTATGATCTTAGTGAAAAAGGGGGGACGGAAGGGGATGGCGCTGGGTTGCAGCGCTGCGATTGTTTCTTGTGTCAAGATCCTCGTTGATGGGCGTTCAAGGGGGTTGTGCGCTCGTGTCAGATGTGTTGCAGGACGCTGGGGTTGAGTTCTCGAGTGCACCCCAGCACCTCCCAGCACTCCCTCCCCATAAAGTGATGGTGGGCGGGCAAGGGGGAAAAAAAAAAAAAAGGGGTGGCGTTGCAGACAAAACGGAATGGGGCCCGGGTTTGGAGGTCAGACAAAACAACTGACACACGCCGATCAGCGGGAGAGCCTTGGCCTGCCACTATTTTGTTGGTAACACGGCACTGTCAACAAGTATTAGCCTGCTCCAGTGCTCCGTATGTAAGTATGAACCCCTTGGCTAGTTGACTGTAGGTACCCAGCAAACTACCTTCTCTTGCATGGCGGCTGTGGAGTGTTTCCAAACCGATTCTGTGGGAGAATGTCAGGCACAAGAAGGGATAATAGCAAGTGGATTAAACTTAAAATTTAGGTACGCTTGCAGGAGGTGGTGGTGGTGGTGGCCGCGGCCACCTTTTAGCCATGGCCTTTTTGGTGAGTGTCGTCAGGATTGACTTGCCTTTCTTTGCCTCAATCGAGCCAACCTGAGCCCGCAGACTGTGGAGTGGGACGGGCTTCATATTCCCGCCTGTGAATGCTGCCTTGGCTGCCCTGCTGGGGACATGTGCAGATGGAACATTTTGATGTCCAAGAATGCCTGCCCGTAAAACATACTGTAGTGCAGTTGCCCAGAATAGATGCTACCGCACATGTGTCGAGGAGACTTGCGACGACGCGGGAGCCACCTGCGCCCATTGTGGCGGCTAAAACATAACACACCAGCACAGCACAGGTCACGAACCGCGCAGGGAGGCAAAGGCGCCTGCTGGATAAGACGGCACCTCACAGCGCGAATAACACAAATCACATCTCAGCTGCACGCCAGCGACCAGACGAAGATGAGGGGGGGCGTTGACGACCTTATATAGTGGAGCAAAGTGAAGAATTCAGACCTCCCGAGTCCCAGCCGTCGGGTTTCCGTGAGGCCGGTGTTTTGGATTCGCATGTTCCGTGTCGCGTTTAGGAAAAAGGGTCGAGCCGAAACGAGAGCCGGAACCCAACGGAAAAAGTCTCCGGCCGCAGGGACGGCCGCGACCCACCCCGAGAGCGAACCGGCGATAAGTGGGCACCATGACCGGAGCACCGGAGTATGTGGAACACATCATTCGGCAATCCACTACTTCGTAGCAATCACACCAATATCAAATTCTACAGCAATCCAATAAATCAACCCTTAACATCCTTCTCCAACCGTCCGCCCCGTCTCCTAAACTGATCCGCAACACTCTCCATCTCCACAACAGGAAACCTTGGATCCTTCTGCCACGGCAAGAAATCACTACTTGCCACCATCCACCGCAACACAACCCCTTCCATCCGCCTCCTCACTTCCTGATACTCACCCACCTCGGCCAGATTATGCAATTCTCCCGGGTCCCCGGCCCGATCATACAGCTCCGCCGGCTCGTACAGCCGATATACGTACGTCCACTCCTTATTCCGACACGACACGCTCTTGCCAACAATCGTCGTGTCCTCATGCTG